ATAACTTGTAAACTATTCAACTTACCGATTCCAGATTTCGTGTGAGTTATTAGACAGTGATAAGGTATGAGAGGATGCGATGCCAAATCGTTCTGGTAATAATAACGCAGTTTATAAATGTTTAATTCAAAAGTCATAAATAAAATTCTTCAGTGTATAACTTTTGATCTAATCGATATTTTTTGACGCTCGAAGGCTAGTTTTGTAGGTCTTTTGAAGACGAAAAAATTTATATTTACTACTTTCTCGTGGAAATGAACGGAAAAAAGTTATAAGCGAAAAACGTGAATATACGTAAAAATTATACAATTAACTAGCCTGTAAACAATCTTATTGTACATAATATTTAGCATCTATAGTGATAAATTCAGCTTGCCGAAACAAAAAGTCGCGAAATGATCATTTCGCAGCTCTTTTTCCTGGCCTGTACTCTGATTTGTACTTATAAGAAAATAATTATTAAAATATTATGTTAGCTGCAAAGATGAGTTTTAAAAACGATTCTTTTAAGTTATAATTTTATTTTAACAAAATTCAAATGAAAAGAGTAAATTAACAAAGCTTGAGAATTTGATTTTTGAGCTTAGTTTCGAAATTCCGGTACAGGGAGACACCAGAAATACGGACATTTTTTATCATATATGACGACCTTTAATAAAAACAGCAGCGTAATTTTATAATCCTCTAGAATTTAAGCTGACATAATATTTATTCCGTTTTCAGCAATACCAGTTGGCACACGTCGCACATAAAGCAGCGTACTAAACTTCGGCTTTAGTGTTCGGGGTTTGAGGGCTGTAAGGATTTGTCTGTTTCGTGATCTAATCATCTTACCAATTTTTTGTTCGTCGGGAGCAGAGCCTAGAGGACACTTCCTGCAGCTCCCGCCGTCATCTTCTAAAACCTCTCCGGCAGGACACGGGACGCATACCCAACAGCACCGTTTATCTTTTCCGCCTTGCTGGACATTCTGTAACAGGCACACATGTTATCAGCTCAAATATTTTTAAGTCAACAGTGGAAAAAAGGGCGTTCGGGAATATTAAATAAAATATAACGTATTTTTAATGAGGATTTTAAAAAGTCTATAGAATTTTTCTACTTCTTACAGAATCGTGAGATGTAAACTTGGTTTAAGTATGTACAGAGTTTTCTAGAGTATATACAGGGCGTTTTGTAACGAATGGACTATAGTGTAACTGGAGGTTCTTGGAGTCAGGACCTAACCCAAGATTACTAAAGGGACTAGGCTGCCTGGTAAGTTTTGACCATCACAGTGCAGTAGAGTGACCCGTCATTTGGAGGAATCAGTATTTCTACAATATTTATGCAAACAGTTTGTTCGAAATTGATTTACATATATTCTTGAATTAATTCGATGGATCTGGGGTTTAGAATGTGTGAACCCGAATACAAGTAATTAGAATAGTTTCTATGATTTTAATTTTATTGATTAAATGAGTTATGGATAAAAATATGCCTACCTTTTGGGTAATTAAAGTAATTAATTATAATTTAGTAAAGCATTTGGTTACGAAGAGTGAACAAACATTTACAAACAGCAAATGTTTTCAAGTTGGCATTAGATTTGATTTTAAAGAAATTGTGTACCAGCCGACGTTTTGGCCAAAAAATGTCGCTTTTCAACGTTTCAAATTTAAAAGACAATATCGTGAGGAGAAGAATGAAGCGAAAGATGATATCCCAGAAGAAAATACTTTTTTATCGACGCGACTAGAAACAATCAAAACCAAATAATTTCGGAACCTTTACTTGTATCAAAAAACTGCTCAAATACTTCTTATAATTTGAGATTACTTCACTTAAATATTCAAAGCATGAAAAATAAAATAGATGAATTTGAAAGTTTTCTTACAGACTATAATTTTCACTTTTTATTATTGAATGAACATTGGTGCAAAGAGGATGAAATGTCTTACTTATACATAAGCAATTATAATTTAATATCAAAGTATTGCAGATCCGTTTCTATACATGGGGGTGTAGCTATATATGGTTTGAGATGTTTTGATAGTTGTCTAACTCTTGAATCTATAAATAAACTATCAGTAGAATTACATTGTGAAATGGCTGCCATGGAACGTGAAAATATTAGAATTCTGACGGTTTATAGATCTCCTGATGGTGATTTTGAAGTATTTTTGGAGATATTGAATGCAGCGTTGAGTATGTTCGTAAAGGCGAATAAAGTTTTATTTATATCGGGTGACTTTAATGTTCATTTCCATGACAATAAAAATAAACGTGCTTTACTATTGATAAATGTGTTTAAAACGGATGGCTTGATATTGTCGTATATAGGTGCCACTAGAAATAATGCCTGTCTTGATAATATTTTCACGAATCTACACTCTGAAAATATTTATACAGTTACTGTAGATAGTAAACTATCGGATCATTCTGGTATATATTTAGCTGCAAACGTTAATTATGTCAAGTCTACCCTAACACATATATACCGACCTATATCTGAAAGTAAGCTTGTAAATTTAAATAATTATCTTGAGAATTTGAATTGGAATTTTGTTGAGGATGATACTTTGAATATTAATGCGCGTTTTGATATTTTTATTAAAGTAATCACTGACGCTGTAGATAAATTGTTACCGTTACAAACTAAACCAATTAAAAAAAAATAAAAGTTTTCAGTTATTGTGGTTTAATAAAGATTTGAAACAAATGCGTGATCATTTACATTTTCTTCACGATCTCTATAAAGGCAGGCCCACTGAGGCGAATAAATTAATTTATAATAATTTCCGATCTCAATATCGCAAAAAAATCTGTGAATCTAAAAAGTTGTCTAATGATAATTTTATCCGTAATCATGGAAATCCTCAAAAAGCTATTTGGAATATCATTAATGGTCTTAAAAATGATAGAGCGGTCAATTCCTCGTTAATTTCATTGTAGAAATTTAACAACTATTTTGTTGATGTTGCTGAAGATATTATAAATAATTTGCCTTCTACTAATTTACATTTTACTGATTATTTACAAAGAACATTACATTATAGAAATTTCCGTTTTCTAGAAGTATCCCCGTGGGAAGTCGCTGATGTCATTTTAAATTTGAAAAATAAAAAATGTATGGATGTTTATAATTTTAACACTCAATTATTAAAAAATATTATGAACGTGATATTAATTCCTATCACCAATTTATTTAATAGCAGTATCATTTCTAATATTTTTCCTGAATCGTTAAAATTATCAAAAGTTGTACCTATTCATAAAAAAAATAACATAAACGACCCTTCAAACTATAGACCTATTTCCGTGATACCTTATTTTGGCAAAATTTTTGAATGTCTTTTAAAATGTCAACTTGTAAATTATTTTGAAAGTAATTCGTTATTTAATCCTCATCAATATGGCTTTCGTAATAGCTGTTCCACCACTTTAGCTATAGACAAATTGACTGAATATATAAACGAGGGTTTTGAAAAGGGTGAATATGTGTGCTCTCAGTTTTTGGACTTAACAAAGGCATTTGATTGTGTAGCACATAATATTCTCATCGACAAATTAAGTTTGTATGGGTTCACACACGATAGTCTTGAGTTGATGAGATCATACCTCACAAATCGTCAGCAATTTGTAATCCATAATAATATAAAATCTAGTTTGAAAAACATTAAGCATGGCGTACCTCAAGGTTCTATACTGGGACCAACTCTGTTTCTGATATATATAAATGACATCACTAACTCCTTAAATATGAATATGTTAAATGTACTTTTTGCTGATGATACTAGTGTATCAATAAAAAATAAAAACTTGAATAATTTGTTGGAAGACATCCCTCAGGTGCAGTTAAGTGTGGAGAATTGGTTTACAAGTAATAAACTTTCTTTGAATAGGACAAAGACTGAGACAATGATATTCACCTTACGAGAATTTGATAACGGCGCAGAACTGGATCACGTTAAATTCCTTGGAGTTTACCTAGATTCTAAGTTGCTTTGGGAACAACATACAAACTATATCTGTAAAAAGATGTCTAAATATATGTATTTACTACGAAATCTTGTGGGTAGGGTATCGTTGAGTACTCTGAAAACAGCATATCACAGTTTTATACACTCTAATATATCCTATGCTATTCTTGTGTGGGGACATGCTACCTCTAGTAGGGATGTGTTCGCACATCAAAGAAGGGCCATTAGAATTATGTTAAGTTTGAGTTACAGGAGCGACTGTAAACAGCATTTCATTTCTTTAAATATACTTACTGTTCCCTGTATATATATATTGCAATGCTTACTATATGTCAAACAAAACTTAATAAATTTTTCAACTAGAAATCAGCTGCACACTCATAATATTAGAACAAAGAATAATTTAACTACTAACTATTTAAGACTAAGTAAGACTAGAAATGGTACGGGATATATAGGAATACGTCTTTATAATGCCCTACCAATCCACATAAGGAATCTCAATTTTAATCAATTTAAAAATAGAATAAAAAAATTTCTTTTGAGAAATGCATTTTATGATATTGAGCAGTTTTTTGACAGTGACTTTAATCATTTGTGAGCTATTGTATTTGTTTTTAATATTGTTTTACCTGATTTTATTTATTCTGTTTACAATCAATGTCAATTTTAATCTGTATTTATATTTTTATTAATTTTAGGATTTTGTATGTATCTGTATTTTTAACTGTGTTGTAATTTTGAAAATATCAATGTTTCTTTTCTGACGTGTGTAAACACTTTGTGTAATAACACGAATCAATAAAAATGTAAAATGTAAATGTAAAATTAAAGTCGAAATAAATAATGATATCAAATACTTTATTACTAAAGCTTGAGGTTTTTGTCGGCTAGTCATAGGCGTGTTCGTCATAAACAAATAAAAAATAAATAAACAGGGAGGTAAAAACAAAAATAAATAAATTTTTATATTTTATCAGCGAAAGGTCGTTTTTTACCTCTTGACGCGTTCGGCATTGTTAGAACATTAAAACACGCATACATGAAGCAAACGCGAAGCCAATAACTGCCGTTATTACCGGTTCCGTACGTAGCGAAAAGCTGACGCGACGTCTGTGATCATCCAACCGAGTCCTGAGCTCTATTTGTTATATATTATAGTTATTTTTTTATAAATACAAATATATATTATTGTAGTAAATTATAATATAATGTTTTAAAATTTCTTCTCATGTCGGAGTCTTCAGTTGCCTTTCTTTTGATTTTACTTTTTATAAAAAGTCACGTTATAATTCTATACTGGGATAAAATGAAACGAATAAGATGTTCTTCATGTAAAATAACAAACTGGCTTCTTTTTGTATAACTACTGGTGCACTATCTCTACCACGGAGACGAAAGCTACCTGTTTCTCTCAATTTCTGAAATAATCTTGAAAATAAGTTTCTATCCAGTTGAGGCCTATTGGCACTAATTTCTGCATAATAGCTCGTTCGTTAGAATTTTTGTTGAGAGTAAACCGAAACCATACTTGCCATTTCATGTTAACTTGCCACGAGGCATTTTTATCTACTTCTTATGAAATCGAGTACGTTCACAATCAGCTTTTACGGATCGATTTTATCCACAACAGACAGCTACGGCATTTGAACAGCTCCGCAAACCGAAAAACGAATTCGTACAACACTTGAAAAAATGGTCCCGCCGTACCAAAGCTGCCCTGAAAATTTTGACTAACTTTCGAAATAATCGTGAAAAATATTGACTTCAAATTCAGCCTCCTGCAAGACCTCCGGGTCAATGTTAACATTGTCTAATTTCAGATTCATAACTTCACCCAACACGTAGTTTTGCGGAATCCACCCCGCAGGCGATTGAACGCACCCTAGTCAACTGCAGTTATTTAACCAGAGCATAGTACCTGGCTGTGTGTATACTTGACATGCAAAATAATTTGCTTTGAAACCGCTGCATTCCTATGCTATCAATCAAGCATAAATAAATCACA